GATTGATTTTCTCTCTGTAAAATCTCTCTTTCCTTCAACCTCGCGCTTGTCTGTTTTCGTATGTACTTTCTGCTCAAATTGGTCTTCGGTTATCTCTCGTACATTAGGTTTTAGACCAGTTTTGATGTCTGAAACCACTTTTCTAGTTCGGATTCTGCACGTCCTTGTCCTATTGTGTAGTTCTACGCTCGCTTAGTCTCTTTATCAATGTTCGTGAATCACTTATGCTGCTAGTGTATGTGTTCTGGAAGAATCGGCTTTTCCCTTTCTGATTCTCAATTGTTCAACCATGTTCTTTGTTTTGTTCAAAAGCTTTGAGGTCTAAATCCAGTTTCTACTTCTGATTCTGCAACCCCTTTGTCTTACTGTCTAGTTCTCGCTTAGTCTTTATGAGTTTTCGTGAATTACTTGTGCTGCTACTGTATGTGTATTTGAACTTCATGAGATTTTTACATAACTTATTAATCAAAGGATCTTCGTTTGCCCTTGTGATTCTCTATTGTTTAAACATGTTCTTTGTTTCTATTAATATTCAGAACTTTCACTTTCTTTTCCACTGCTTCGATTAGTAAATGAATCTAGGGTTTCTTACTTGTTTCTTCTTTGTTTCTAACCAGACTTGTCAAGGTTGGTGAAGTTCCGGTGTAAAAAATGGGTAGTTCATTTAATGCTCAGATTTTAGTTGAGAAGCTTGCCAAGCTCAACAGTTCTCAAGCAAGCATAGAGAGTATCCTTTTTTATCGTGTACTGATTCCGATTTCGCTCTTATCTAATCTTGGTTGTGATAAAGCTCTGTACTTTCTTTCATTAGCTTTCTGTTTTTAAATGGGCGTTTGGAAAAAAAACAACTAGACAGAACTAGTATCTATAGGTTATAATACCATTTTGGGTTTCTATCATTTTGATGTTGTGGACCATAGATTATTTTCTCAACTCCCCCAACTTGCTAGCTCACATATGTTGTGTTTTTTTCCAGCCTTTGCATTGTATATTATCCTTGACAATATCGAGCTTTATCACATTGGTGTATCTTTCACATGAACAAGGCGAAACATGTTGTGGAAACATGGGGCATGCAGTTTCACTGTGCTCCGCGTGAGCAACGATTGGCATACTTGTACCTCGCAAATGATATCTTGCAGAATAGTAGGCGAAAGGGTTCAGAGTTTGTAGGTGAGTTCTGGAAAGTACTCCCTGAAGCTCTTCGTGATATGATTGAAAATGGTGATGACTTTGGAAGAAAATCTGCACGTCGATTGGTACGTGAAGATAACTCTTTATTCTACCGCTTTCTCTGAATTTCTTCTTGTTCTGCATTTTGATGAACATGAAAATGCCAGCTATTGAAATGATTTCAGGAATTTTACATGAGAATTGCACTGCTAATTATTGTAATTTTCTCTTCAAGGTTAATATATGGGAAGAGAGGAAGGTTTTTGGATCCCGTGGACAAATTCTCAAAGAAGAATTACTGGGAAGGCAGCCTGAAAATGGAACAAGAAACGGAACCCTCGTGCCACTTAAGCTTGTAAGTTCAGAGCTTTCTATGCAAGCATATGTTTAATAAGGTCCACCCTCATGTGATCATTTCTGCTTTGGAGTTCTCCCTAGCTAGCAACATGATCAACTCTATTATTTTTTGCAGTCTGTTCAACAGGGACAGGCAAATGGAACTACACTACAGAGAGTAGTGTCTGCTGTTGAAGCTCTTCATGGCGTTCAAATTAATGAGGATGTTATTGTTGGAAAATGTACTACTGCTGCCGGTTATCTTGAGAAATCAATGCAGGAGGTTGAGAGAGATCTTAGTTCAGGTATCACCGCTCATTGGCTGCTACATTGCTGCAGATGTGTTGATATGCTTTTATTTTTATCAAGTGACAAGCTACATAGCTGCAGATTTCTACATTCATTTGTTTTAAGAACTCAATTCATTTGGTCTATCTTTTACCACATTTTTTTGTATGAGAACTGGAATCTTAAAATTAGCAATCTAGTATTTGGTCTATTGTGTGATCTTAATACACCACCACACTTTCGATTCTGACTTTCATGATGCTCCTCTCTTGTGTTTCCATATAGTTTTTCCGAAATTATTCTATTCACATAGTGGCTCATACCATATGATATGAATATGTCTTTGCGCCAGATCGTTTAATGGTGAGAGAACTTACCCCCACCATTAGGAAGAGAATCCACAAATTTATAATCCCTCAATCCCCATCCAGAATAACCAGTCCCACACAGTTTGGTTCATTTTGGAGTTTAATTTGTTTGCTACAGTGATTGCTGGGACTTGTCCTCTATATTAACTGCTTGTGGATATATCACACTTCTTTAATTTTAGGATAGAGAAAATCCAGTTCTTGTTCAAGCATCCATTGATGATATGAAGTTCTTTTCACTATCTTACCTCTTGCGTGTCGCTTAAAACAGGACACACCCCTGGGCCTGCGGTAGCAAAGGAGGTGCAGGGACAACATGTTATACTGAGAGACTGCATCGAACAGCTAGGGGCCGTGGAGACATCCAGAACAAGTCTTGTCTCTCATTTGAGAGAAGCTTTACAAGAGCAGGTTTCCCTTTTATACCACTGCTTAATAATGTATCATCTTTGATTGCTCTTGCCAAAAACAGCACCTTGTTTTTGTTTTTGTTTTGTCCAGGAGCTTAAGCTTGAGCAACTCCGTAACCATCTTCAGGTTTGAATCTGTACTAACAAATGTGATTTCCACTCTACATGAGGTTCTCTATATTCATCTCTGATTACCATCACGCTATAGGTTGCCCGGTTTCAATCAGACCGAACCGGTGATCTCTGCAGACAGCTTCTAGACCATGGTGGTAGTTCACAGCCTCCTGCTGCAGAAGAAGAAGAGTCAAAAGAAGTCTCCAAAGTACCATCCGCTGCAGCACCACCGCAAAGCTACACACAGAGTGAAGTGGAACAATCTGCACCTGTTATGTTTGCTTCAAACCCACCAACTCAATCAGTGGTGGTAGACCCAAGAAAAACCGCAGCCGCTGCAGTGGTAGCTAAGCTAACCGCATCGACTTCGTCAGCCGAGATGCTTTCCTACGTTCTCTCCTCTTTAGCCTCTGAAGGCGTCATTGGAAACAACCAATCCGCTGTAACAGAAACATCATCATCGAGCGATTATCCGCCTGAGAAGAGACCCAAGCTTGAAAACCATCATGACCAGTCCTATCTCCAACAGAACCCTA